CCTTGCATCTGAGTTTGCTCAGTGACTCTTACTTCACCTGCCCAAGTGATGTAAGATAGCGCAAGGCTTTCTTGCAAGCATGCTCTTCGGAGCCTCCCTCTACTCTGGACACCAGCTTGCTGGATTGCTGACCGAGTGGGAGCTGCGCCTCCGCTCTCCCCCTTTTTTTCCTTGTCTTTCCTAATTCCAGTTTTTCCATTTCCCTATCTTTCCAGTTCCCCACAGCTTTACCTTCCCCCTAGATCTCTGTGGGGTACGGTACTCCGGGGTCTCCTGGACGAGCAGGCGTCAGAGCCTAGTAAGGCACCTTCTAGACGAGAATGAGATCAGGGCGAATGTGACCTACACCTGCAGCCTCTGCTCTACCACCAGCCTCGGTCTCCACCCTACACGCGACCCCTACTTCATGAGAGGGGGACACGAGCAGTCGCCCCTCGACCTCTATAGGCAGAAATGCCCAGGGCGTCTTGTCGCCCTCATCTCCAGGAAGGTGCTGGACAACCACCTGAGGTAAGCGTAAGAGGCAGCAGACGCGGAAGACAACTCAGCACCCCGTGACTGTAAGGCTTCAAGGGCAGCAGCTGCTGCAACTCTGACGGGAAGACCCCGCCGCGCCACTACCAGCAACAGAGCCCCACGGACAATGACCCTTGGATCGTCGCAGAATTCAAACTCGATGACTTCGACAGTACCGCCATCCGGCGATGATTGCCTGACATACAGCACACAACCGGTTCCTACAACACCACCTGAGCTGGCACTAACACCTTTTTCGCCCCTTCTAGGCGACTTGCCAGAAATCCTTGACGAGGTTTCGGCAACTAGGAGCACCCCATCGCCCATGCCTAGCGAGGCCTCCACTGCGAGGAGCAGGTCTTCATGTGCTTCCCTTTTCTCGCAGAATGGAACCGCGGCCTCCATCCCGCCAAGTCCCAGGCAGCATGAGTTGCCGCACAGCGACGCAGACCACGGCTGCTCACGGCGCTCCCGGTCACCGTCACCGGAACGGGCCCTTACCTCCCTCCCTCTCTCCTAGGTTGCATGGCTGACTCCCACCGAGAACTCCAAGGATGTTCCCACTCCAACGGCAACTAGCGAAGAGGAGTCCTCACCAGAAGAGTCACCGTGTTATTCCCTTCTCGAGCAGGACCCAGATGCAGCCCCTCAAACTCTGAGGACCAGTGTGCAAAGCAGCACCACAGCACAGCATAGCACTAGCACAGGAGGACCCTCGATCAAGTCCTTCAGCCAGGGACATCACCGAAAGCTCGACTCCCCCACACGACTGACGTCATTCGAGGGAACTTCACTGGACGAGGCGGCTAGTCACACTCCCCGCCCTACAGACAGAGAACCCCGGCGAGATTACCCTCTCCGGGCCAATCGATGACACGAGCGTGCTAGCAGAGCACACCCAGCAAATCTGTCAACTGTTTCGGGATGCGGCCACTGCTGAGCGCTGGGACGACTTCCTTTCCATCCTGGAGGAGGCCGTTTCGGTGATGAGATAGGAGGCGAAAGTTACGGGCAACCCTGGCGGTGGGACACCCCGCTGTCCCGACCAACCCCAAAATCACAGAGCAGCTACAGGGCTTGTATCGTCGCAGCCACCGTCGGGCTGTTCGGGTCATCGTGCAGGGCGAGACGAAACTCTGTGAGATTCCGCTTAACAAACTGGAACAGCACTTTGCTGCAACATGGGTGCCGAAGGAAGGGAACACTCATCTGCTCGTCAAAAAGGCTCGTCCGGACGACATGGCATAGATCTGCCTCGCTCGATTCACCAGACACGAGGTGGTGGCCCGTCTACGCAGATGCGAAAACACGGTCCCCGGCAGTGACAGGATCACCTTCCGTCATTCGGAAGGAACATGGTTCTGATGGTCTCTTTCTCTCTGCAGCTTTCAACGCGTGCCTCCAGTTCAAGTGAGTGCCCGATGCCCTGGAAGGAGACTGAGGACCATCCTCATCCATAAGAAGGGTGATCCGAGTGAGGCCGCGAACTGGAGAGCCATTGCCCTTGGAAACACTATCTCCAAGCTGTATGCGGGCTACCTTGCTTCCCGCATGCAGCAGTGGGTGTGTGACCATGACCTGCTCTCGAGGTGTCAAAAGGGGTTCCTGCCGCACGACGGCGCATTCGAACACACCGTCCGTGCTGGAGGAGCGCGTGGATGCCAAGTGGGCCGGTGGGGGCGACCTTTGCGTGGCCTTCCTCGACTTCGCCAACGCACTCGTCTCAGTATTGCACAACGCACTAATTGATTCCCTGCGTGGTGCAGGTGCAGGAGAGGACTTCCTGTGCCATCGTCGCAGACCTCTAGCGAAACAATGCGACCCGGATTGTCGCCAAAGCTGGGACAACCGCCCCAGTCACCATCTCAGCCGAAATCAGACAGGGCTGCCCACTGAGTGGCCTTGCTATTCAACTTCGTGCTTGATCAAGTTATTCGGGCGGTCCAAGGAGGTTAGAGGCAGCACAATGTGCTGGCTTATGCCGACGATTTCCCGCCCTTGGCGGACAACTCCAAGAAACTGCAGAACCGCATCAACGTCGTGGCGACCCTCGTTGGCCAGCTCGGACTTCGGTTGAACCCCAAGAAGTGCAGAAGACCGCACCTCTCTGGAAGGACTCCCGTAAGCACTAGGCACACTGAAATCGTTTTGTCGATGACGAAGAGATACCTCGCAGTCAGTGACTACGAGAGTCAGTCTTTTCTAGGACGCCCCGTCGGTTTCAGCCTCGTCTATGACCGCTCTAAGGTTGACGAGGCGATCTCCGTCGGCCCCACCCTGCTCGAGTCCATGGTTGCCCCTTTGCAGCGAATTGATGCACTAAAAACCTTTGTTTTCCAGCACTCAACTTCGCCATCTGGTGCAAACAAGTGGGCAAGGCGGAATGGGCACGCCTAGACGACGCATGGTGGCCCATAATAAGGAAACTATCTTCCAGGTAACGCCGTAAACAACTACCTCTACGGCAGCGCAGCAGCCTGAGCAGCTGGAATCCCCCTCTCCGAAGACAGAAGTGACACCTGCCGCGTGGACAACACCCTCAAGCTTCTGACCTCGGCTGATCTCGAGGTCCGGGAACTTGCCTTCGAAGCGCTAACAAAAATTGTTTCCAAGCGCACTCGCAGGCACGCCACCAACAAGGAGCTCACCTACTACCTCAGTGGCGAAATGAAGGGCGTTTATTAGGCACGGCCAACACGACTTCAATCTCTCTGGACCGAGACTCGGAAGGCTTCCCGCTGGCAACACGTCACCTCGGAAATTTTCGAGGACGGGGGGACCAGTTTTACGTGTGACGGAGAGGAAACCCTCACGTTAAAGAAAAACAGGAAAGTGGTGAGAACGTTGCGCTTCCGAATGATGCCGGCACGTGATCGCCTCCTTCAAGAAATGCCCAATCAAGCGAAGCAATGGAATGCGTCACCGCAGACCCGAGCAGCTGCCACTTTATGCGCTCCGGCAAGTTCACCCTCTTTTGCGACTGGCAATTCATTCACAGGTCACGACTGAACCGTCTACCTATGAATGGTGCCAACCCATGGACTACCTTCACCGACAAACGTTGTCGTGTGTGCAGTTACGCAGTGGAAACGCTGCCACACGTCCAGTCACTGCATGCACCACAGCGTGGCCCACACAGGTCGTCACAACAAAATTTTTGAGCGGGTCAAGCAAGCCGCCAGCAAGAAGTTCACGATCACGCATGAAAACAGAGCGGTTGGTACCACCATTCGCCCCGATATTGTTCTCGCCAGGGGGGAAGAGGCGATCATCTTAGACGTGACCTTCCCCTTTGCAAGCGACTCAAAGCACTCAAGGCATCCCTACTTTAGGAACGAAAGTACGAGTCAGTGCGGGACTTCTTGCTCCGCCGCTATCAGAATCACAATCGAGGCAATTGTCGTCGGTATGCTCGGCTGCTGGGACCCGGCTAATGATAGTCTTTAAAAAGCTCTGCAGCCAGAAGTACCTCTGGCTCCTTATGAAGCTTGCAGTGAGCGAGACCATTGCAGCTCCTCGGGAAGTGTACTGTGGACTTGACCATAAAGTGAGTGACGGTCGCCGGGCCACGTGCTGACAGTCACCCTCCCACCAAAACCATGAAAAACTAAGAGGCGACACCACACGACACACGCCCCTTTTTCTTTTTATCCCCTGCTGTTTCCTATTTCACCCTTCCTCTTTTTACACAGTTCACTACACCACCTTTCTCCTCGTTGGTTGAAGGCACAAAAAATGAGAACAAGTCTTTCTTTTTCGGTCAGAAATGTTCATAACCTTGTTGCAAACCCCTCGTGATTCAATGTGCTTGGCCCTAGGGCCGGGCTTTTATGCCCCCTCTCCTCTAGTGTGGACCACTTTTTTCACTCTTCCTTTCACACACTCTTCTACTTTCCCCTTCCTTGTGGCATGTGCGCTGCGTCCAAGACGCACTCCTTCGGGAGCTAACTGATCAGTTGCACCGCAGTTTACCTGTTGTACTCTTGTCCTGAAGTTAGGTCCTGCTTCTATGGCTCGATGCTGTTCCACACATGAACGCCTGGCCTATTTAGCAGGGCTGTCTGGTGTCTTTGGACCCACGATGGTCTGTGCCTTTCAGATTACCTGGGCAGTCTCACATTGGGATGCAGCAGCGGGGGAGTGACGCCCCGCAGTGGGTGAAAGGTTCGCCCCACTACACCACTGTATTGATCTATGTGTTCAATGTCCACTTGCTTAGCTGGCGGATGGTCACCCAAGAGGACATTCCCGAATAAGCTCAAGGTTCCGAGAGCCTGGGTGCACGTGCTGCTCAGCCCCTGTTTAGCAAGCCGTGTACCAAAGCAGCTTCTCCGTGGCTCTACGCCATGGCGACTGGCCAAGCCCTTAGGCAAGGAAGGGTGGACGCTGGTGCGGCCGCTAGTGCGCTGCACCCTTGAAGTCAGGCCATTTGGTCCCAGAATATCTGGGTGGCCTTCGGTCCGGCCAGCAAGGCCGCGACTACCATTCCCTCTATGTGTTGCCTCTTTTGACTAACCACTCTCTGTTCTTATTAGCTTAATTAGTGATACGGATTCTATTTGTATCCAAGATAATAAACTTATTTTTGCAATGCGGCACAGTGCTTGAAGCTTGCTTCAACTCCCCCATGGGTTCGCCCTGGTGTTGCACTATCTCCGAATCGGCCCACTCGCCCCTGCGGGGATGAGTACAACACTATTCTCAATACAAACGAAATGTTGAGATTCACCAAGAATATTGGGGTGAACCGCGTGGGTGAGTCGACTATCCGAAGCCTTGGTGTCACGTCGCTCCAGATAACACGGTATTCGCCGCCTTTCGCCCGCGTTTGGGAGTGTGCTAGCTGTGTTCACACTTACAATTGCTTTGGTAAAGTAAATCTTTGTGTGGAAATTTTATATTCGGGAGCCCCCTTTTTTTCTGTTATACTCCAACCTTTCTTTAACATCCCAATTATTAGGGATAATGAGTAGTTTGTTATTACTGTTTCAAAGGAAATTTAAAAGTGCGTATGTGACAAAACAGCCTTGTTTAGCTATTTTCGCTTTCAGAGTTAGCGCATTTCAGAAATGAATAAGCTTCTATTGCGTGTTGGTGTTTCTGTTTGCAGTCAGTGACAAGGGAAGGCATTTTTATTTCACGCCTTCACGGGACGTCTTACCCTGAAGGCGTGTGCTCTCACGATGTCTTCGCATGTACACTGTAACTCATTAAAAATAAATCGCGAGGAACAGCAGAGGATGCACCTTGCACGCACCTGCAGCGTGGTTGAGCGGCAAAGCCCCGACGTGCGCGCGTCCCTGTTCTCTTCTTGTGTCCAACGACCTGGGTCCCTGCTTCCGCCAGCGGTAGCCGTAAATCGTTGCCATGCGGTTAGTTACCTTGCTGGCACCCTCGGCTATCGCCTTGTTGATCACACACTACACGTCTGGACAATATCTCGAGCATACCAACTGATCCGTTGTTGGTTCTCGTTAATTAAAACGAACATGCTCGCATGCTGCCTGAATGGAATGTCCCGTTGCTGGAAGTAGCAAGGGAACTGTGCACTATACATTTGGACGCATGACGCACGTACCTGAAGCGCAGTGAAACGCAGGATTTGTGAGATAACGACCCGGGCACGCTTTGTGATGATTTGCTTCTGTACCCTCTGGTTACTCCTCACAGCTTCACAAAGCCGAGTATGTAGAAGATGAAAAAGCAGAACAACGAAGTGGCACATCTCCCACAATCGTTGTGAGCCACAAGTAAAGGTTAACAATAACAAGGAATACAATCGAGCGCAGTTACGAAGCAGTGGATCAGCGGTATCGCAGTGCCGAAATATAATCTCTGAATATGGCAACACGTTGCTCCGCGGTTGCATTTGTGCAACCACACATCTCCCGAAGACGGTCTGTCATGAGGTTACTCACACGTTTCTCAACGGCATTCGACGAAAAGCGCAGGCGAGTACTTCTCCACTCATTCTGCCACCACTTGACGACCGCCTTCTACCGCCTCTTGCCGGGCTCGATCGACATAGCGGCACGCTTGCGCCTCGTACACGCCACCAAATCACTCCTACCTCTCAGAATCCACAAACCTGGACATTTTAGCACAAAGGCAGAGCCTGCAGTCGAAATGCCTGCATGACATCGCAGTGGCGATTTGCTCACACATTGTTCGGCTCCACCACATGAACCTGCTTTGACTAGCAACACAATACACGCTGTAGACATTTCTCACGGATTCCCAAGTCTGCATTTCATGGCAGGACCGCCTTCGACTCCGGTGCGGTGTTCCGCCACGTCGGAACTTGCAACGTATATGTTGCGTGCGCTGAAGAAGCCAACGGCAGCACCTTTTCGCCGATGATTGTGGTCGTCTTTGAAGAGGCGTTGCTTGGGCAGCCATCGCAGAGGTCATTATAGATGGGCGACGTAATCACGCTTGGTACAGTCATTTTTTTCTCTGAAGGCTTTGATGCACGAGTTTGAAATGTAGACCTTGCATAAGTTTAAAAAAAGTGCTGTAGCAATCTCTTGTGACGTGCCTGATAATGTGCGCCGGCAAAATTTATTGTGAAGTCATGGGCATGATCGAGAGTCCACGTGCAAGCAAGGAAAAATGACTTCGACGTTTGAGAAAAGAAGGTTTCAGATTTAACATGTTTGTAAGCGAAACAAGAAACATCAAGCGGAGAGAGCGCTTCTCGTCCTTTTGGCTAAGATGAAATGCGCTTCTTCGGCCTTTTGGCTAAGATCGCTTCTCGGCCTTTTGTTTCAGAAGAAAGTGTAGTCCTACCCCTCGGAATTCAATGTGCTCGGCCCTGGAGCCGGACTTTGAAGCCCCCTCCCCTTGAGGAGGGACCAATCTTTTCACTCCTTTCCTTTTCTACTCTCTTATATTTTCCCATTCCTTCTGGCACTTGCTGCTGTGTCCACGACGCGCTCCTAGGGAGCTAACTGCATCAGTTGCATCGCAATTTACCTGTTCTTCCCCTGTCCTGAGGGTAAGGTCCTGTTTCTATGTCTTCATGCTGTTCCACACCTGAACCCCTGGCCTATTCAGCAGGCCTCTCTAGTGTCTTTGGATCCGCGATGGTCTGTGCTTTTCGGAGTTCTTTGGCAGTCTCACTTTGGGGTGCGGCAGCGGAGGAGTGACGCCCCGTGGTGGGATAAAGGTACACCGCCGTATTGATCTATGTGTTCATGGGCCGCTTGCTTAGCTGGTGGGTGGTAACCCAAGAGGGTACGAAAATGGTGCGCAAAACTTTCTGTTGTATAACATTGATCCCGGTATAGAATTTAATATTCTGTTAAAGGTTGGCCGATTAGTAGAAACAGTCATCCATAGGCTTCGACTTGGTACATGATGATGTGTGGCGCTTTATGGCGCAATGGCCAATTGATGGCCAAAAAGCGCCATTTCAATGAGTATAGAGTTGTGTACAAGGATATGTTGCGTGTCTGTATAGGGGCCTTAAAGTTCCTCGCGATAATGCGGGTAAAAACATCAGTATTAAAGTCATGACAGTGACTTGATATGCATAGTAAAAAGGGTGAGAAAAGTTTTGTTAATAGAAACGTGTAAAAATATTTGGCACTAGCACAAGTTCCTCATTAGCGGCCTTGTGTCCAAGGGCTGTGAGGCAAGTGCTTTCTTGTATAGCCACCACAGCAAAAACTTCTCTGCAGAGGTCGTGCTACGGGATGCCCGGGTATATGATAGCAAAACTATGAGTTTCTTTTAAAAACGCTAACAATGATTTATGACTAAAAAGCGGATCCCTACCGACTGAACATTGCAGGGTGTAAAGGTATATGTTGTCGGTAGGGTAATGGAAAGTGTTGTTTTCTTAGAGTCTACAATTGTTTGCACTGAAATAAAATGTGGAGAACTGTTAGTGCTTCACCACATCTGTCACACAATGGCTCATCGCCACCGGACAAAAGATATGTGTGTGTCGTGTACGTGTGTCCTATCCTGAGCCTTATTAGTGTTACCTCTGTTAGACGTGATTTTGCATACTGGTGGCTAATGGCCAAGGTGTGGCTTGATAACGTGTAGCTTGTTTTAAGTGTGTCTATCCACTTGCTCTGCCAGTAGTCCCTGAGCTTTCGTTTGAGGGAGGGCTTAAGATCAAGGGGTGAGATCGATATGGGTGTGGTGGAACCGAATTCGTGGACGGATGCAGCAAGCTGATCCGCCATCACGTTGCCTTGGATCTCACGATGCCCTGGCACCCTGCACACTACAACATGTTGTTCGAGTGTGTAGAGTGTGCATAAAATAGAGTAGAGTAAGATGAGGACAGGGTTTTTTGTTTTTTAAGATTGTGCAGAGCCGTAACAACACCGAGGGAGTCAGTATAAATTACTGCTTTTTGTATTTGTGACTGCTTGATGTGTTTAGCCGCCCCAAGTATTGCGTAAGCTTCTGCTGTGAACATACTTGTGCCTGGATGTAGAGGGCCAGCATCCGAAAAGGATGGGCCGACAGCAGCGTAGGACAAAGAGGAGTACACACGTCCCTGAGTTCTGTAAAGAACTCAGGACGTGTGTACTTGTGTTGAAGTTCCAGGAAGTAGTTTCGGATATGGGCAATAGGTGTGTGTTTTGTGACTTCTAGGCAAGACACATCGCAGTCTATAATCCGCCACTGCCACGGGGGCAGGTATACTGCAGGAGCCATTAAACTGTGTTTAAGTGACACTCCAGTTTCCTCAGCTACGCCCTTCAGGCGAACTTAGAAGGGCTGCCTCATCGAAGGCCTGTTTTGAAACAGAATAGAGCTCGACTAATCATTAATAGTGGAGTAGGAAGGGAGCTTCTTGTCTGCTTTCACCTTAACCAAATATACAAAGGACATGTAAGTTCTTTGTAGATGAAGCGACCATTTATTTGACTCAACGTAAAGGCTTTCTACAGGACTGGTGCGAAAAGCACCCGTAGAAATCCGGATGCCCCAATGGTGCACCGGATGCAGCATCTTCAAAGCACTTTGAGTCGCAGACTGATAAACAACGGCCCCATAATGTAAGCGTGTGCGAATGAGGCTCCTATACAAATTCAAGAGACATTGCCTGTCGCTACCCCACGTAGTACATGACAACACTTTCAGAACACTCATGGCTTTTATACATTTTGTTTTTAGATACTTAATTTGCGGTACGAAGGTCAACTTGTTGTCCAAAATTAGGCTTAAGAATTTATGCTCGGCATTAACAGACAGACGTTGACCATTCAATTGAATGTCAGGATCTGAGTGCATACCTCTTTTTCGGGAGAACAAGACACATGTGCTTTTTTGTGGGTTCAGTATGAATGCATTTTCTTCTGCCCATTTACAGACCTTGCTCAAAGCTAGCTGAACCTGCCGTTCACACATTGCCAGGTTGCATGACACAAAGCCAAGCTGGACGTCATCGACATATGTACAATAGAACATATTGAGGGGGATGGAAAGGGGCAAGGAATTCATTTTGATAATAAAAATCGTACAACTGGGTACACCGCCTTGCGGTACTCCCGTTTCTTGAACAAATAATTGGGAGAGAACACTTCCCACACGCACACGGAATGTCCGATTGGACAAGTACCTCTCGATTATGGAAAGCATTCTACCGCGCACACCCAGGTAAGACAAGCCTTTTAATATTCCAAAACGCCATGTTGTGTCGGAAGCTTTTTCGATATCGAGAAACACAGAAAGAAAGTATTGTTTGTGGACGAAAGCGTCTCGGATCTGTGCCTCGATATGCACCAGATGGTCGGTGGTAGATCTACCCTCTCGAAACGCACATTGGTATTGGTCAAGCAGATTGTGTGTTTCAAGGAAATATAAAAGTCGGCGGTTTATCATTTTTTCAAAAAGTTTACAAAGGCAGCTGGTTAGTGCAATTGGCCTATAACTTGAACCAGAGGAAGGGTCCTTGCCCTGTTTCAAAATAGGGATAACAATGGCTTCTTTCCAGGAAGTAGGTATGGTGCCAGAAAGCCAGATAGCATTGTATAGGGAGCGTAAAGTTTTTCGCGTTTCAAGCGGCAGGTTTTTCAACATTTCATACATGACATGTTCGTGGCCTGAGGCGGAATTACTGCAGGAATTTAGTGATGTTTGTAGCTCAGCTAATTTGAAAGGTTGGTTGTATGCCTCGTATTTCGTACACTTGTATTCCAGTTTCTGTTTTTCAATTTTTGCTTTATATCTTTGAAAAGCTTCAGTATAGTGTGATGAGCTAGAGACCTGCTCGAAGTGTGCACCGAGGAAGTTCGCCTGATCTTCCAGGCTGTCACCCTGTGTGTTTACGAAAGGGAGTGAACGCACTTGTCTTCCTGCTACTCTACCAACCATGTTCCAGACCTTAGCCTCTTGGGTATATGAATTTATCCCTGATAAAAACTTGTGCCAGCTTTCTCTTCTGGTCTGCCGACGCGTTTCTCCTGGCCTGAGACTTCATTTTCTTAAAAGTGGCAAGATTTTCGGCTGTCGGTGAGTTCCGAAGCAACCTTCCATGCTTTGTTTTGCGGCCTGCGTGCATTTCGGCGCTCTGAGTTCCACCAAGGCACACGTCGTTTTCCAGGGTGTCCATTCGTTTGTGGTATGCTTTTTGTTGCTGCATCAATCAGAGACGCTGTAATGTAGTCGACAGCCGCATCAATGTCTAAAGTGCATTTGTCGCGCCAATTTATATATGTGATGGTATAAAACTGTTTCCAGTTGGCTTTGCTTAGTAGCCAATTTGGAACCCGGGGTGGGCATTCAGTTGATGTAGATGTGCTCAAAACTACGGTCACTTCCGTAGGGATTAGTGATGACTTTCCAGTGAAGCGGAGGCACAAGCGATGGAGATACTATGCTTAGGTCTATTGAGGAATACGTATTGTTAGCGAGGTTATAATAGGTTGGTTCTTTCTGATTCAGGAGACACGCGCTTGAAGAGAGAAGAAACTGTTCAATCAGTCGACCTCGGGCGTCACAACGGGAGTCGCTTATAGCATTTTATGTGCATTAAAGTCCCCTAGAACAAGATAGGTTTCGGGCAGTTCATCTATCAAGAACTGGAATTCGCGTTTGTGTAGTTGAAAATGTGGAGGTATGTATATAGAGCAAATGGTGACTAGTTTGCTTAAAAGCACCACTCGAACAGCCACTGCCTCAAGAGACGTTTGGAGTTTCAAGTGTTTACATGCTAAACCTTGCCTAACTATAACAACTACACCTCCAGATGATGCCACGGCATCATCACGGTTCTTTCGGAAGATAATGTAAATGCGTAGGAAGTCGGTGTCTTTAGATTTTAAGTGTGTTTCCTGCACACACAGCACATTTGGTGAGTGAACGTGTAGAAGTTCTTGGACATCGTCGAGGTTTGTGAGAAGGCCTTTGACATTCCATTGTACAATCTGTGTTTCCATATTTGATGGAAAGTGGTGCTGTGTGTACGGAAATGAAGTGGCTGTTCAAGTGGGAAGTTGTAACTTAAGTAGCAGGGCCGTCGTCGGGCCCTGTTATCGGTTTCTTGGTTCTTTTAGCGCGCTCTAGGGAGCCACGCCGCATTTCCGGCACATGAGGTACCGTGTTTGTGTCCATTGCCTCACGTGAAGCACTGGACGCCCGCGTACGCGAGCTGCTGTGGGGTATTTGCGACCTCGCCTGGTGAGACGTGGTCGGTCGACCCGACGACCCTGGAGTCGCCCTAGTCTCTGGTTTGGTAGGTGGAGCAGGCTTGGCTGCTTCCACCATGGGGGCGGCCACCACACTGGTTGGCTCACTTGGCGTGGGCCTAGGTAGTGGCGCAGGGTGATGCGACGCTGCCCCCTGACGCGCCGCATCAGCGTACGCTATGCAGTGAAAAGCCGAACACCTTCGGCGTGCTTCCTTGAAGGAGATATTTTCGCGAATCTTCAGTGTAATATAGACTTTTTCTTTTGTGCCACTGTGGACAAGAACGTGAATATGATGCGTGGTCTCCGTCACAGTTTAAACAACGTAGAATTTCATTACATTTGCAGAGATGTGGCCTTGGGCACCGCATTTGGAACAAGCAGGTCGAACCACGACAGCTCGGAGAGCCATGGCCGAACCTATGACACTGGTAACATCGGCGGGGGTTTGGTATGTAGGGTCTGAATCAAAGTCTTTGTATAGCCAATTTCTATTGTTTGTGGTAGTTCACTGGTGGCAAAGGTCAGTACCAAGTGTTTCGGGGGGGTTTCCTGATTGTTCCTTCGGATGACGATTCGCTTCACATTGGTCACGTTCTGTTCTTTCCAGCCCGCGAGAAGTTCAGCCTCCGTCAGATCACGGAGGTCTGTGTCAGAAACAACTCCACGTGCAGAGTTCATGAATCGATGAGGTGTTACGCTGATGGGAATGTCGCCGAATGTTGCAAGGTTCTTTAGTTTGTCAAATTTTGTTTTGTCGCGGAGTTCTAAAAAAGGTCACCACTAGCCTTTTTTGTAACCTTTGTAGCCATCACCTAATTTGGCTGTCAGAGACCACGATACTATGAACAGGGACACTGTTCTGGCTGTTTTGCTGGGCTTCTCACTGTGTACAACATGATAACGAGGGAATACTTCTTTGGGTCGGCTGAAAACAGGAAAATTCTTTGGTGCGTAGGCGCTTTGAAGCGGCACGATCAATGAGGAGTGGAAAGCTTCTCTGCATGATAGAGGTATGTAATTCAGTAACGATGGCGGCCACCCACCACGGAGCCCAGCGAGGGGACGCTACAAGTTTCATGAAACGCGAAACTTGCAGACGCCAGCCGTATACAGCTACGATAACCTAATGCGCGTAGGCCAAGGTTGGCTAGTTGCACAAGGTTAACCCAAGCCGTCCATGAAAATGGGAAAGTAACAAAAGAAGTTAGGAGAGAAGATAGATTTACAGAAGAGAAAAGACGAAGGTGTGGGGGAGAGAGAGATAGGAAAGGCGACTGCCGATTTCCCCTGGATGGGTCAGCCCAGGGGTGCCGTCTACGTGAAGCCAGGGCCAAAGAGTGTGTTGCCTTTGCCGGGGGGCCTTCAAGGTCCAATCACCCAGCGTCGGCTCAACCCCAGGATCCCCTTTTCCCCGGACACGGCAAAGCCGCGCACGGCTAGGCGTGGGAGGGAGTAGAAAGTCTCCCGTTAGCTCGGATCCGTGGTGTCGCTACACACCAAACGCCTACTTGCGCAGGCGCCCCTGCGGGGTCGACTTGGTACAGCCTACACGAAGGCTTTCCTGTATAACATAAGGAAAGCTGGAAGTCCTACCTACTCATGTGGAGAAAGCTCATGAAGACGTGGAGCACATTCTTCTGCATTGTAAAAATCACTGACGTACCTCGAAGAACTTTTTCAAAAACTCAATTTTTCGGATGAGCGACCTCCATCAATTGCAAAAGTCTTGGGTCCATGGCCAAAAGGAAAGCTAAAAGCCACTGCAGCGCTGTGCAGTCGTTCCCTTTCTGGAGGAATCAGAAATAGCTCAAAGTTACTAAACAAAAATCTAATGCACTTCACTGTTAACCACGGTATGTTTCAAAACACTATTTTTGTGTTTACTACGATATATTTGGGAAAAGCTTTGTGTAAACAGTTCAGTATTTAAGCGACAGAATCACCTTAGACATTTCATTGAGCTTTCACGTTCCTGTGTGAACAATTAAATTGACGTGATTACTTGTGTTTTTTTACAAACTAAGTGTGATGCGGACACATTTCTATGCAAACTGTACCCATTTTTGTTTGGTGGGGACACTTACTGTTGAAAAACGTAAACTCATTTTGTAAGTGTTGTGCTATGTACATATCTATAGCCTTGTGTTTGCTACAAAATGTGCGATGGTGACTTTTGTGCAAGAGATGAGGAGTGCCCGGCGCCACGCATTGGCACCAACCTCTCCTTACATACATTGATGAAAAAAAAACAATCCCGACTAAGCTCATGGTTGCCGCACTCTGGGTGGACATGCTGCTCAGCCCCGGTTTATCCGACCTCTGCCAAGCAGCTTCTCAATGGCTCTACGCCACGGTAACTGGCCAAGCCCTTAGGCGAGAAAGGGTGGACGCTGGTGCAGTCGGTAGTGCGCTGCACACTTGGAGTCAGGCCCTACGGTCCCGGAAGATCTGAGCGGCCTTCGGTCAGGCCAGCAAGGCTGAGACTACAATTCTTTCTATGTGTTCGCTCTTATTGAACCACTCTCTGTTCTTATTAGGTTAATATGTGATACGAATACTATTTGTGTCCAAGATACTAAACTTGTTTTTGCAATGCGGAGCAGTGCCTGAAGCTTGCTTCTACTCCGCCATGGGTTGACCCGGTATTGCACTATCTCTGGGATCAGCCGACTCGCCCCTGCGGGTGTGAGTACAACACTATTCTCAATTAACACGACGTGTCCAGATTCACCATGGTTATTGGGGTAAACCGCGAGGGTGCGGCGACTATCCAAAGCCTTGGTGTCACGCCGCCCCAGATGACGCGGTATTCGCCGCCTTTCGCCCGCGTGCGGAAGAGCGCTAGCTGTGTTCACACTTCCGATAGCTTTGGGAAAGTATATCTTTGAGTGATAAATTTATATTCAGGAGCCCCTTTTTTCTGTTAACGCATACATACTCCAGGTATTTTTCAACATCCCAATTAATTAGAATAATGAGTAGTTTGTTAATACTGTTTCAAAGGAAAGGTGAAAGTGTGTATGTGACAAAACAACCTTGTTTAGCTATTTCCACTTTTGGTGTTTGCGCATTTCAGCAGAAAAATGAAACAGCTTCTATTGCGTGTTGATTTTCTGTTTACAATTGCAGTGACAGGAGAAAGCATTTTTATTTGACGTCTTCACAAGACGTCGTACCCTGACGGCGTGTGCTTTCACGACGTCTTCACACTACACTGTTCCCCATCACAAAATAAAATCACGAGGAACAGCAGAGGACGCACCCCGCTCGCACCTGCAGTGCGGTGGAGCGGCAAAGCCCGGACGTGCTCTCGTCCGTGTGCTCTTCATGTGTCCAACGACCTGGGTCCCAGCTTTAGCCAGCGGTAGCTGTAACTCCTTGCCATGCAGTTAGTTAACTCGCTGGCGCCCTCGGCCATCGCCTTGTTGATCACACACTACACGGCTGGACATCATCTCGAGCATAAAATCTCATCCGTTGTTGGTTCTCGTTAATAAGCGAACATCCTCGCATGCTGCCTCAATGAAACGGCCAGTTGCTGGAAGTAGCAAGGGAACTGTGCACTATACATAGGGACGCATGACGCACGCACCTGAACCGCAGTTGAACCAAGGGCTTGTGAGATAATGACCAGGGCCCGCTTGGTGATGCTTTGCTTCTTTCTGTGCCCTCTGGTTACTCCTAACAGCTTCAGAAAGCCAAATATGTAGAAGGCGAAAAAGCAGAACAACGAAGCGGCCAATCCCCACAATCGTTGTAAGCCACAAGTGAAAGTCAATAATAACAAGCAATACAATCGAGAGCAGTGACGAAGCATTGGATCAGCGCTATCGTAGTGCAGCAATATAATCTCTGAATATGGCGACACGTTGCTCCACTATTGCATTTGTGAAACCACACATCTCCCAAAGACGGTCTGTCTCGAGGTTGCTCGCACCTTTCTCAACGGCATTCGACGAAAAGTGCAGGCGAGTACTTTTCCACTGATTTCCACCAACACTTCACGACCGCCTTCTACCACCTCTTGCCGGGCTCGATCGACATAGCGCCATGCTGGCGCCTCGTACACGCCACCAAATCACTCCTACCTGCCGGAATCTGCAAACCTGGACATTTTAGCACAAAGGTTGAGCCTGCAGTCGGAACGCCTGCACGACATCACAGTGGCATTTTGCTCACTCACATTGTTCCGCTGCGCCACATGAACCTGCTTTGACAAGCAATACAACACATGCTGTAGACATTTTTAACGGATTCCCGGTTCTGCATTTCATGGCAGGACCGTCTTCGACTTCGGTGCGGTGTTCCGCCACGTCGGAACTTGCAAGGCATATGTTGCGTGGGCTGAAGAAGCCAACAGCAGCACCTTCTCGCCGATGATTGTGGTCGTCGTTGCAGAGGCGTTGCTTGGGCAGCCATGGTAAATCGCATTTCGTACAGTCATTTTTTCCCTCCAGGCTCTGATGCACGAGTTTGAAATTCAGACCTTGCTAAGTTTTAAAAGAAGTGTGGTAGCATCTCTCGTGACATGCCTGATAATGTGCACCGGCAAGCATTCATTGTGACGTCGTGGGCGTAATCGAGAGTCTACGTGCAAGCAAGTAAGCATGGCTTCAATGTCTGGGGAAACGGAGGTTTCAGTTTTAACTTGTTTGTAAGCTGAACAAGAAATATCAAGCGGACAAAGCACTTCTCGGACTTTTGACTAAAATCAAAGTTGCTTCTCGGCCTTTTGGCTAAGATCACATATCAGCCTTTTTGGCTCAGATAAAGGTGTTGTCCTACCCCTCGTGATTACATGTACTTGGCCCAGGGGCCGGGCTTTGATGCCCCCTGCCCTTGAGGGGGGACCACTTTTTTCACTGTTACTTTTCACTCTCTTCTCTTTTCTCCTTCATCTTGCACTTGCGCTGTCTCCAACACGCGCTTCTTCGGGAGCTATCTGATCAGTTGCACCGCAATTTGCCTGTTCTTTCCCTGTTCTTAGGGAAGGTCCTGGTTCTATGGCTCGATCCCGTTAAACACTTGAACGCCTGGCCTCTATTAAGCAGGGCTGTCCGGGGTCTTTACCCCCACGAAGTTCTGTGCCTTTGGGATTTACTGGGTAGTCTCACATCGGGGTTCATCAGCGGGGGAGTGACGCCCCGCGCTAAGTTAAAGACTCGCCCCGCTACACTGCTGTATTGACCTATGTATTCAAGGGGCCACTTGCTTAGCTGGCGGATGGTCACCCAAGAGGACATTCCCGACAAAGGTCACGGTTCCCGGACCCTTGGTGGATGCGCCTCTCAGCCCCTGCTCTGCCGGCCTCTGCCAAGGCAGCTCCTCCCTGGCTCTAAGCCATTGCGACTGGCCAAGCCCTTAGGCGAGGAAGGGTGGACGCTGGGGCAGCCGGTAGGGCGCTGCACCCTTGGGCTAAGGCCCTTTGGTCACGTAAGGTCCGGGCGGCCTTTGGCCGCGCCAGCAAGGCCGAGACTACCATTCCGTCTATTCGTTGCCTCTTTCGATAACCCCTCCCTTTTCTTATTAGCTTAATATGTGATACGGATTTATTTGTATCCAAGATAATAATGATGTTTTTGGAATGCGGCGCAGTGCTTGAAGCTTGCTTCAACTCCACCACGGGTCGGCCCGGTATTGCATTATCTCCGTGATCAGCCCACTCACCCCTGCGAGAATGAGTACAACACTATTCTCAATAAAAACTACGTGTCTGGATTCACCAAGGATATTGGGGTAAACGGTTGGTGCGGCGACTATCCGAAGCCTTGATGTCACGCCGACCTAGATGACGCGGTATTCGCTGCCTATCGGTCATGTGTGGAAGTGCGTTAGCTCTGTTCCCACTTGCAATTGCTTTGGAAAAGTAAATCTTTGTGTGGAAAATATATATTCGGGAGCCCCCTTTTTGTGTTAACGCATACATACTGCAATGTTTTTCTAATACCACTTATTTAATATAATGAGTAGTTTGTTATAACTGTTTCAAAAGAAATCTAAAAGTGTGTATCTGACAAAACAGCTTTATTTAGCCATTTCCATTTTTGCTGTTTCCGCATTTCAGAAAAAAATAAACAGCTTCTGTTGCGTGTTGGTGTTTCTGTTTACAGTCAGTGAGAAGCGAAGATATTTTTATTTCACGCCTTCACGAGGCGTGTTACTCTGAAGGCGTCTGCTCTCACGATGTCTTCGCCTGTACTGTTCCCCATCACAAAATAAAGTCGCGAGAAACAGCAGAGGATGCACTCCGCACGCGCCTGCAGCGCGGTGGAATGGCAAAGCACCGACGTGCACGCGTCCGTGTGCTCTTCTTGTGTCCAACGACCTGGGTCCCAGCTTCCGCCAGCGGTAGCTGCAATTCGTTGCCATGCGGTTAGTTACCTCCCTGGCGCCTTTCGGCCATCGCCTTGTTGATCACACGCTACACATCAGGACATAATCTCGAGCATTGTGCCACAAGGCAGTAGTGGGATTGGGGCACAACGTGGTAGAGGGTCTCTGCCTGAAAGAAAAGACTACGAAGTAAATAGAGAGTGATCCCAGCCCATCAGTGTGCCAGGCATTGTCTTCGCGTATAAACGTCGTAAATATCTGCAAATATACGTTTCCTTGTAAGATTATTGGTGAGGGGCTGGGTACGCCTACCTGGCTTTCCCGGCAAACGAACACGGAACTTTGGAGTGGTCGCCACCTTCATTTTCCTGCAATGGCTCAACAGGCCCACCCACAAGAGCAACAGCAGCCGCAGCAGTAGCAATAGCAGCCGCAGCAGTAGCAGCAGCAGCGGCAGCAGCAGCACCAGCAGCAGCAGCAGTAGCAGCAGCAGCAGCAGCAGCAGCAGCAGCAGCAGCTGCCTCCTCTGATTTTCCTGCCTCCACGAGACCCCGCAACTTTCTCAGGCGCAGGCAAGGACAAGGTGAATGTTGAAGATTGGGTCGCATTGTACGAGCGTGTGAGCGAATACTATAGGGGGGACCCTACGTTGATGCTGGCCAACGTTGTATTTTTCTTGCGGGATACGGCGCTCACCTGGTATGAGACGCATGAGTCGGAGTTGACCAGCTGGGACATTTGCAAACTGGAGCTTGTCGAGTTCTTCAGCAGGCCATTGGGCGACAGCAGGCTGCGAGGAAAGACGACCTGGAATGTCGGGTACAGACATCGATGGAATCGTATGTATCTTGCATACAGGACGTATTGGGCCTACGTCGAAAGATGAACGAGAACATGAGCGAAGCTGACAAAATCGCTCACATAATAAAGGGAATTGCCGATGACACCTTCAATCTGTTGATCGTTACAGATTGCGCCACCGTCGACACGGTTGTTGAGGATTGTCAGCGCTTCGAGCACGCCAAAAACCGTCGCATAATTTACCACTTTGTGCGTCTGCCTAATACTGCAGCCCCTTCGACCTGCGAATACAGCCCCAATATCACGCAAGCTATATCGTTCGAAAATGTCACCCGAATCGTTCGCCGCGAACTCGAGAGCAATGCTCATGCGGTCCTTAAGACAACGCATCCACCGTCTCTCTCATCCAAGCCGTCGTTCGCCAAGAAATAGCAAATCTCGTCATCGCACCTGTTTGTGCTGTTCGCACTACCAAGAACTCGTCTTCTGTTAAGCAGATTCTGGTGTACCCTTCACGCTACCCTTCCCGCTAACGGAACCCCGCTGAATGAAGAACGTCGGATGATAGACCGATCTGCTTTCACTGATCTCGCACCGGCCACATTGTGCGTTACTCTCGCAATCATTGGAGGCGTCGCTTTGGAAGCAACTCTCGCCGGTTTTCTACTCCGTACGATCCACAGCCTCCTCCTCCAAACGTTCAGGGCCGAAGGTTCAGCCGGTCATCATCACCCCAAGGCCGCCGATCTCTCTCGCCGATTGTTTCTCGATATAGGTCCCCTGCACGACCTGGGCTCTCAACCTCGGGAAACTAGACCATGCAGCTCCCGGAGGTGACGCTGCAATAACGACCCTTTCTGCAAATCCTCTGTTGACGATTCTTACACGCCGCAATATTTTGGACCTTTTGATAGATGACGTTACCGTTACAACCCTCATAGGCACTGGCGCACAAATTTCAGTCATGAGCGCTGCTCTCCGTATTAAACTGCGAAAAATGATCCCGCCTCCTATTAAGTGTGCAGTACTGCTTGCCCGTGGTGATGGCGTGGTGGTTAGAGCATCCGCCTCGCATGCAAGAGGTCCGTGGTTCAAATACCGGTGCCGCGCAGTTCCCACCAAATTTAAAAAAATCCGCGTGATGGTGGAACTGCATTAAGAGGCCTGGGGTGCGGCCTCACTGGTAACCAGCGCCGGGAACGCACTCCCCCACCAGAGAAGGATTGGCCACCCTGGTGCAGTATCTGGCCACTACCTCCCACATGCATACGTCAAATAACTCACGGCCCTCAGTCCCCAGCAGCTGCGAAGCAACTGACCACGGTGGTGGTCAGTTCTGCAATGCAGCAGAGGGTGCTAAGAATCTCTGGATCCGGACAGGCCACCATTGGAACCTGAACTTGGCAACGTTTAACGTTAGAACCTTATCTAGTGAGGGAAGTCTAGCTGTACTAATCGAGGAGCTAGAGGGTGTTAAATGGGATATAATAGGGCTCAGTGAGGTTAGGAGGACAAATGAGGCCTATACGGTGCTACAGAATGGGCACGTCCTTTGCCATCGGGGCTTCGCAGACAGAAGAGAACTGGGAGTGGGGTTCCTAATTCACAGAAACATAGCTGCCAACATAGAGGAATACTATAGCATTAATGAAAGAATGGTAGGTATCGTAATTAAACTGAATAAAAATACAAGTTGAAGGTAGTACAGGCTTGCGCGCCTACATCCAGCCATGATGACGCTTCAGTTTAAAGCTTCTATGAAGACGTGGAATCGGCAATGAGTAAGGTAAAAACACAGCATACTATAGTGATAGGCGACTTTAATGCAAAGATAGGAAAGAAGCAGGCTGGAAACCAGGCAGTAGAAGATTATGGCATTGGTACTAGAAACGCCAGAGGAGCGCTACTAGTAGAATTCGCAGAACGCAATAATTTACGGATATTGAATACCTGCTACCGAAAACAAAAAAACCGCAAGTGGACATGGAGGAGCCCTAATGGCGAAAATAAGAACGAAATAGACTTTATAATGAGTGCCCACCCAGGCATCGTGCAGGATGTGGAAGTGATTGGCAAGGTACGATGCAGTGACCATAGAATGGTGCGGTCTCGAATTCGCCTGGACTTGAAGAAGGAATGACAGGAAACTAATACGCAGGAAGCCAACCAATGAGCTAGCACTGAGAAGGTTAGTTAGTTATGTTGGGTTTTGTGGCGCAAGAGCAACTAAGGCTATGCTGCGCCAGACTCATGGTGAGAATACTTACAGCAAACAGGGCTATGACAATGACTCTGAAATGTCTTAATGGCGGTGACATATGAATATGATGAGCGGTGAAGCGTGGCTGTATAAAGGCCTAAAAGGATTGGCTCCGTAAACGCGTGAAGTATATATCTCTTCTAAGATTATGTGTGTGATGCTCGCGGTGGTCAATGTGTATGGTTGGTGCATGAGGTTATGTTAAACCGTAACGGCTTTTACATAGCACTTATACCATACCCGTGTCCTTATACCTAAGGGCAGGGAGGCAAGTGCCTCGTTGTAAATTCGAGCTGCAGCAGATTCCTCTCCAAAGAGGCTGTGCTACGAGTCACATCAGTCAAGTTTCGCCATGTCTAGCGGTAGCATGGTTTAGTGTAGTTAGACCTTGTTCAGAATTTGCGCTTCATTTAAAAAGCTGATCACATCAGCTATAGGTATTAGGGCGTCATCGCCCAAGAGTAGCATTGGATGAAGGGGAATATTTAACCTGTAAAACATACGGAAATGTTTTGCTCTTAATGTTTCTATATGTGGGCAAGCTATTAAAATGTGCATTACAGTTAGTTGGTCCTGACACTTTTCGCATGTTGGGGCTTCTTCGCCTGCCAGTAGGTAATTATGTGTGATGTGCGTGTGACCTATTCGTAGTCGACATATAACTACTTCGATAAAACGCGCTTGATGAAGACAGGTCTTCCATTCACCAAGAACAGGTTTAATTAGGTGAAGTTTGTTGTTTTGTTGTAATTTCCATTCCTGCTGCCAGTGAAAGGTGGTGGCCCGGCGAACAGCTTGAATCCCATCTCTGGCAGGTATGTTGGTTTTTGACTCACGCATCTCTTTTGCTGTTGCAGCTAGTTGGTGTGCCCTTTCATTGCCTGGGATCCCGACATGACTCGGGACCCAACAGAGGCCTATGGTGTGGTCATCAGGTGTGTGGGATAGCATGTTTAAAATATCGCCTATGAATGGCTCATACTGAGATTTATAATTGAGACTTTCCAGCGCGCTTAACGAGTCTGTAAATATTACGGCTTTTTTATGTTTTGAGCTTATTATGTATCGTACTGTCATCCATAACGCATAGCACTCAGCGGTGTAGATGGATACGAACTGCGGTAGTCTACTTATTTGCTCGTGTGTTGCTCCTACCACATTGCTTCCGACATAAGCAGATGTCTTCGAACCATCAGTATAAAATTCTTCGTAAGTGTTGTACATTTGTTGTACTGTAAGGAATACTTGTATTATATGTTCACGTGGGGTGTTTT